AACCAGAATTCAACATTCAATATTTTCACTTCATTATGCCTTCCAAAGTTTAAATATTGCTTACTTGCAGAACTTGTTGATTCTTTCCAAACCAATTTACAGTTAACTTCTCAGTAACTATCCAAGGGTCACCCTTACCTGTGACCTTTGAATGAACCATGTAGTTTCAGCACTTTTTTTTATTGGTAGGCTCCAGCTGTACATCTACATCAGTGTCACACATCAGTGTTTTTGTTCCCATCAAGCTAATTATATCAGTAAGATGCTGTTGTCCTAGAGTAGGTATTTGTATTTTTTTGGTAGGTGTTTGCTGCTGTATGTGTTTCAGAGATGTGAATGAGCCTATCTTTGTGTATGAGAGCCTGTGTGTTAGTGTGAAAGTGTGTAAACGCACACTGATACAGCGCTGTGCTCATTAAGGAGCTCTGGCTTGGCTGGGCTTGGCTCCAGGGCCACATGTTTCTCCTGTGCAGTGCTCGGCTATTTCTGTCTGCAATGTTTAGCTGGGATTTATACTCCGCTGCTCTCTCAGTCACCTTGTCTTTTCTTGTCTCATTCTTCATACAGTGTCAACGCATTTCTATCTAGGCTGGCTAATAGACCTATCTACTGTACACTTGTTTTGATAAATTTGGAGCGTGTGAGCTTGAGACAGAAACTGGATTGATGGCAACATTAAAACCTTGTGTTCCAATAGTCTGGTTCAGTGTTAGTCACCTTCATTGTCTCTTTAAAACAACAGGTTTTGAACACATGTATTTCTGCAAAACCACATATTTCTGAATATGTTAAGTGTGAAATAGAGCGGAACTTATCCTTTGAAATCTGATTGGTTAACTCATGCTTGCTAACATTATGTGCTGAAATTATTGCCTATTATTTATGCTAGGATAACATTACTTTTGGATTATATTGGCTAATATTAACATTGGCTAATATTATTTATGCTCATATTATTGCCTATTTGTGCCATTTTGGCTAATATTATTTATATTCGGATATTACTGGCTAATATTATTATTGCGAGAATTTTATTGGTTAATGTTATTTATGCTGAGATGTTATTGGCTAATATTATTTAGACTCCGATGTTTGTGAATTATGTCTAGGTTACAATACTGTTATTATTTATGCTAAGCTAAGATATTGGCTAATATTATTTAGGCTAAGATATTATTGTCTAATATTTATGCTTGGAAATGATTGGAAAATGTTAGTTATGCTAGGATATTGGCTAATATTAGTAAGGCTAGGAAGTTATTGGCTGATGTTATTTATGCTACAATATTATTAGCTAACGTTATGTATGTTAGGATGTTATTGGCTAATATTATGTACACTAGGATTTCACTGGCTAATGCTATTTATGCTAGAATGTTATTAGCTAATATTATTTATATTTATGTATTATTATCTAATATGATGTACTGTATGCTACATGGTCTTGTTTACTTCAGATTAGACCTTTTGTCAGATTTGGAGAAAATGGTTTAATTTGAAAACAACCTATGTAATATATGTAGCTAACCTGAGGAGTCAGATCTTGCTTTGAGTTTGCTCACCTCAGAAACAGTGACTGCATTTCAGTGTTTGATTTTTTGTGTTTTTGTTAGCATGCAATAACCTTCACAGGTGTGGAGTTTTCAAATGACAGATGCTCTGCAGGTTATGTGATGTAACTTGCTGCTATTCTTTTGTCACTGGAGACGTTTCCCAGGCACCGCGTCCCCTCGTGATGGCCAAAGTGCCAGCGTTTTTGCACCTGAATTAAGAAGACCACTTGTATATCAAGTGAAGTGCTGTGAAATGTGAGAGCTGTGTGTTTGGAGATGTACAGATGTTTGGAAGGGAAGAATGTGTGATTCCTATAGGGTATTTACTGTATACTGTGTGTGATGTGCTGAGGGGCATTGGGAGTCATGTTTGTGTGTGGAAGGAGATGAGGGAGTGGGAGAGGGGGATGTGTTTGCTCATGCATCTGTGTTTGTGGCTCTCTGAGAGGTTTAGCCTGCAACTTCATGGATCTTTGTGGAAAGACTGATCACTTTGTGCCCATTCTGAATCTCTCTCTCTCCAACTCTCCAACTCTTTTAACAGCTCATTTGATAGAATACAATTCACCTTTCAAACTAGACACCTCTCCACAGATAAAAAATACCACGTCTCTTTCACTGATCATGTGACCTGGCTTGCTTGTCAACCGGTCCCTTCCCCAGAGGAAGCTCAGGGTTGCCGTGGGGATGAGGATCCTGATGGCAGATTTGGGGAATCTGAGGCGACGTTACCATGGCAGAGCCCGAGTCTGAGTCTGGGGAAGGGGTACATTGGCTCTTTGAAGCACTTGTTGTTGCAGCTGTTTGCTTGTTTTTGTCTCATTCTTATTAATTTTTTTGCACTCATGAGGGAACATTATCTCACACTTCAGTATCTTACCTTACAAACTCACATTCATGTCTAATTTTAACAGTAATTTAAAGGGGTCATATGATGCTGCTAAAAAGAACATTATTTTGTGTATTTGGTGTAATGAAATGTGTTTATGCGGTTTAAGGTTCAAAAAACACATTATTTTCCACATACTGTACATTATTGTTTCTCCTCTATGCCCCGCCTTTCTGAAATGCGTCGATTTTTACAAAGCTCATCGGTCTGAAAAAGCAAGGTGTGCTCTGATTGGCGAGCTATCCAGTGCGTTGTGATTGGCCGAATTCCTCAAGCCTGTGACGGAAATGTTACATCCCTTACCATATTGTGATGCCTGCGGCAACCACATGTGACGACCCCGGGCTGGACTCCGCTTCGTCCACGGTGAAAGCCTATCCGGCGATCGACAGCGCGGCAATATTCATATTGTTAATTTCTATCAGAAAAGAACCTCACACTTTTTAACATGATGTATTTCCGAGGTAAACAGGATATTCAGCGAGAGAAAAAAATACTTGATTGTATTTGTCTGGAACTGATTGAACCATGAAAGTTGGTGGTTGCAAGGTCTGAGTTAAAAAAAGTACAAATTAAGAGGGTTTGGTGAAAGTTGCAAGTTGTTTTAGAGGCGGAGCAATTTGAAGATGAAAGGTTAAGAATATAAACACTTTTTATTTGAACAGTGTACATCGAAGATCAGGAATGCGTTTTAAGGCCCCGATCAGACAGAATGTGTTTTTCAGGTTTGAAAACGTGAGGCGCACCACACTGCCTTTTTTTGGTTGACTTTTTTTAACTTAGAAAAGAGCAATGCGCTGCAGGTTTTTTTATGTTGTAGGCAACCACCGAATCAGCTGTCCTGTCAGTCTAATGAAGGATTATAGCGCGAGTGTTCTAAAATCTTTGGTTTGCTTTTGGTTTGGTTTGGATTGCAACTTCAGGTGCTCAGAGCGCTCCAACAAAAACGTGAGGCGCAGCAGGTGAGGCGACAAAAACGCGAGGCACCTGAAGTTGAAAAAAAAATCAACTCTGAGCAGAAAAGCGCCTGACGTCATTTGCGTTTTTCTCCCATTGTCCAATCGAATTGGGCCTTCCGTTGTGGTGACGGAAGTTTACGGTGGCTTGGAACGTCAAGAGACTTTAATGATGGAGGAGAAACTTGTGGCAGCTGTAGCTGTATTTTTTTTAAGTTTCTGCTAATATGACAGTTTACTTAACAGTAAACCAAAGATTTTGGAGCGGTCGCGCTATAATCCTTGATCAGACTGACAGGACAGCTGATTCAGTGGTTGCCTAGCAACATAAAAAACCCCCGCAGTGCACTGCTATTTTCTAAATTAAAAAAAAGTCAACCAAAAAAAGGCAGTGCGGTGCGCCTCGCATTTTCAAATCTGAAAAATTCGTTCTGTCTTATCGGGGCCTAAATCCTTATTGATTAGGAGAGAACTAGCTGGCAACTGTTTTCATTTTAGCTATCATTTTAGGCTAATTAATATTTTTGCGTAAAACCATGATGCTTTTTTACAGGATTCTTTGATGAATATAATGTTCAAAAGTACAGCATTCATTTGAAACATAAATCTTTTGTAATATTATAAATGTCTTTACTGTACCTTTTGATCAAATCGATGCATGTTTGCTGAATAAAAGTATTAATTTCTTTAAAAATAAAAATCTTACTGACCCCAAGCTTTTTTATTTTTATTTAATGGGGTGCCATGAGCAAAAAAAGGCTGATTTCAAACCAATACCTCTGGGGGTTCCTGCACCAGCTGAGCATCTGCCACTGAGATGAATGGAAATGCTAACGGATAGCCTTCTCCAGGTATTATAGACCTCCTTGGGGCAAATGCTCAGCAGGCTCGTGCGTTAATCCATCTATGAGCGAGATGTGCATTGAAAGAGTCAGACCCAGCACACTATGCAGACAGCAGAAGAGGGAGTAACTTCCTGCAGTGGGTAAAGGCAAATAGAAAGAGAAGATGAAAGACAAACAGAGACAGGAGAGAGAAATGAAGAACAGGTCAGGCAAGATGCTGGAGGGAGCGAACTGCAATATGTACCTTTAGCCGGACCATGGCACATACAAACATGGAGACGCAAATAAACTGAAACATAAAGGAAATTCATACTTTGGTTCAGGAGGAAGGTCAGTAATATTGACCGCCTTATTGTTATACGCCTAAATGTTCTGAAAGCATTTTGTGATGCTAAGAAATGCCATAGAAAACAGGAAAAGGGGTCAAGGATGTTGACCAAAAGGTGATAAGAGTTTCTTTCTACACTGAACAAAAGGCACATTTTCATTCAGAAAAATGCAAGATGCAATTAAGTCTGACTGTAGTTGCGTGAAGTGAGCAGGAGAGGACAGATTTTTATAGATTGAATGAGTGTGGAAAGGTCTGGCAACAGAAAGCTGAGCAGTCCAGGAACAGAGCAAATGGAAAATGAGTGGAAAGTGAGAGAGGGATTGGGAGGGAGGGGCTGGGGAAAAGGAGGCGCGGCCTGCATTCTATTCTGCCTATCACATCCAGACAGGGGCAGGCAATGAGAACTGGTGTAGGAGCGAAAGAGAGAGAGAGAGAGAGAGAGAGAGAGGGAGAGAGCATGTGAAGGAGAGAGTTAGACGGAGATGTATATTCTCAGCCTGTGTCAGAGAGCTTGGTCGTATCAGAATAGCACAGGACGGTCCTGGTCCAAAGTCTGTTTCGGAGTGTGGGCCGGACAGTATGTCGGATTCTGAAGCCAAAGTGAACTCCAAAAAAGCTGGCATTCGGGCTGCTGTCATTCTGATTGGACTACTGCACAAGTCCAGACGGCAGAAGGAGAAAGAGAGGGACAAGGAGCGGTGGGTGAACTTTTATTTTCCCACCTTCTAGTTTGACCTGATGTTCAGATCTGGCTGTTGTTACTGGCCTGTGTGCTCTGGTTGGCCTGTGTTTTTGTATGAGGTTTATGGCTATGTAGGTCATTGTATGTACACTTTATACATTTATTGTTGTCCCAGAGTGTGTTGTAATTGGGTCAGTATATAGTAAAGGACTTTTTTTTTGTGTGTGGTTCATTTGAGGATGTTCTCGTTGCAAGCTTGTCTTCCTCCTCATATGCCCCAAAGCAAAATTTCAGACGCAGATATTAGACTTGTTCATAGCTCAGGATACTTAATGCAATTCTCAATTATTGAAGTGTCATTGAAGTATCTCAGCTGTTTCTGATGGAGAAATAACATAACACACAAATAAGACAATTGTTGATATACAGTAAAAGTGAATATAAAATTAACATGGATTGCATTTTTGGTCTTGAAAGAATTTAATGAGAAATGTTTAATTTAATCACAGACTTGGCAAATCTCAGCACAGTTTGAGACATTGTTTTAGTACTATTTATTTGTATAATTTAAGTTTTCATTTTATTTATTTATTTTGTAATTTCCTAATATTTATTCTTTTTTTTTTTAAATATTACTATTTGTTTAATTTATTTTTATAAAAATTTTAGTTTTGGTTTTCAGTTAGTAATTATAGTCCTTTAACTTTAGTTGGCAACATATTATTTTTTTTTTATTTAATATGTATATTTTATTTTAATGAACAAAAATGCTTTAAATAATTTTAAATAATATTAGTTAATAATATCAATAGTTGAGAGTCTTCTGAAACTCTGACTTTGTGTGTGACCTGCCCTGCTCTTTGTCTAATCTTATTGCTGTCTAAGAGAAACAGTTAAGATAATAAGAAGATTGCATATGTATTTTTTCTTTCCTGTGTAACCGTCCATGTACAAAGAGTTCCAAGCAAATACAGCTCTGTTAAATAAGCAGAGAGTAAATAGAGAGAGAGTGAGAGGCAAGAGCGGTAAATAGTTTTCACCAATATCTCCTGGTCAGGGTCATGCAGGTCAGATCGTACAGTATGTGGAAGTAAATCTCCGAGAATGAGACCATGTAACTATTTCTCAGCTATCATTTACTCATCTTCTCCAGTGGTTGTCTGGTCAGTAGCCGTGTTGCTCTGTATCAACTGGCATCATTATTGCAAACAGTGGCCCCAGTGTAACTTTGTCTAATCATTAATTTAAAACTGATTTGACTGCATACTGACACACACCCAAACTCACTCTTTTACGCAGATGTCGTGCTGCCTGGAACCACACAATACGATTTGTCTTCGTAGGCGCCGTGTGTGTGGCTCCATTTGCATAGATCTCATCGATAACTGGCATGGTTACTGACATCACTGCGAGACGGCCCAGCTGGAGTCGCCACTTTTATTCCCTTTAGATCAGTTCTGTCCTGTTCTTCAGCTCAGATGTGCACTCTGTGAGAAGAGAGTCTATAAATCTAACAGGCTTTTCAGATCTCATGTGTTTGAATGAGTGATAAGTGGGGCATATTTGTAAATGTTCTAATGAGATTCTCCTTGATGGTTGGTCTGTCAGGAAGGTTATTGTTTTAATCGAAAGGTTGATTTCTGTAGTAATTGCATTGTTTTATCTTAAAATTAAAGGTTTGGTACAAGATTCAAGAGCACTTCAGAGTGTAATTTGTTCTCTGATTAGAGTTGATAGACATTCTTTGAGTAGGTAAAAAGATCTTTAAAAAGCATTTTCTTAATCAGTATTTTTATCTTGTATTTCAATAAAAATATCACAGAGAATATCCCTTGAATAAATTATTTATTTAATCTCTAATGTTTAATCTTGATTTTTTGTATTATTTAGTCATTATTAATCTAATAAAATATTTATTATTTGTTTTTAACGCAATGGCAGATTTTATTGTAAAGATTTAAGAACTTTTTGGGGCATAAAATAAAAAAGGAAATAGTGAGTGCAATGCTTTATACTATTTTCCAATGGGTTGATTGATGATATATTCTCTGAAAATACAATGTCATTTCATGTCATTTTCAGTAAAAAATATCCAATTATTCATAAAACAAGGTAAATCTACTTTCGTAAGATAGACTTATTCACATAAAATAGAATATATTTAATATATTTAATAATTAATATAACATGTCATCATGAATTTTATAATAAAATGTATGAATTTTTATGAAATAAAATGTATAATAGTAGTTCATCTTAAATAATTTATTAATTCATTTTTTTTACCCCAATGGCAGATTTTATTTTAAGCATTTAAGAACTTATTTGTAGCTTAAATAAATATATAAATGAGGTTTCATTGCTTCATACTATTTTCCAGTGGGTTAAATTTTGATATATTCTCTAAAAACTAGTCTTAATATCTTAATATCCTAAGTAAATTTATTTCATTCATTGTTATCTTTTGATATTTTTACTGGAAAACGACAAAAATGCTTAACATGATAATATTTACATTGTTTGTTGTTTGCAGCCTCTCTACCAGTTTGACTAGTTTTATTTTGGTTATTAATATTTCTTTATTTGACATGATGTTCCTCTTCCATTTATCTTAGCAAGTGCTGCAAGATGAGAGCAGCAGCGAAAGCATTCCTTCATAAGTTCATTAAGCACCAAAGCAAATGTTTTTCTGGTTTCCTGTTTCATTTACTGAAATCTAATTTTCTCCACCTTCATCACTCATTTCTCCCATGATCCTGTCTCCTGCAGCTCGCATGAACTGCCTTCACCTCCTGACTCATTCAGTTTCCATCACATTTTATTTTCCTTTAGGTTTTTTCACTTTCCTTCTTCACGTCGTTTCTTCACGTGTAATTCTGATCCCTATGCACCTCCGCTGTGCCCTCCCCCCTTACTGCCTCTTTGCTCAGTTGTTTTGCCCCCCCCCCCTCTTTTTCTGTTGTTGAGAAAGTATCTTTGATTAGCAGCTGTGTGAAATTAAACTAAACTAGGTCACCTTTTGCCCTCTGTCTCGCTTATAAACATACAAAGACTCAAAGTCCTTTAGGTCAGAGGATAAGATTCCTAACATAAGATTCCAGTTTAGTTCCTCATTCAGTACCACAGATGCATCATCGTCTGTAACTATAAGAGCGAGTCATCGTGAGTATACCTGGAAAAAACATGTGGCTCATTCATCCAGAAGAGGCCGTAAAACAGACCTCTAGCTGCCAGCACAATGGCAACGCACACTCAGTGATATACACACAGTATGTCATAAAAACTCAAACTAAAGGGCTCAAATGGCAGCACTTTGGGGAAGTTATGGATTATGATATAATCATGTTCCTTATCAGTCCTGCTAAACAGAAACATTAAATGGACAGAATATTGCTTCTGAAGCTCCATGTACATTTTGTGATTTACAGTATACTGTCATACAAAGGCAAAACGCAGTCATTTTGTCAAAGAGCCAATAAGTGTGTCTGTAATAAAGAAAAGGAAAAGTCGGTAACACTTTACATTAAGGTTCCCTTTATAAAGGGTTTATGAAGGTGTTAATAAATGACTAATAACTCACTTACAAATGCATTATGAATAACTGATATACAGTTATAAATGCATGAATAAAAGGGTGATTTTGATGCAATACCTGCCAAATAGTGAGCCATTTTTAACTCACATGTTATAAATGCTTAACAAATATATTTATTAATACTTATTTCACTCAAAACCAGATTCCTGATTTTATTCATGATGCAGCAAAAATTTACTATTTTAGCAAGACTGAAGGGTGTTGTATTTATGGTTTTCTCATTTATATCTCACGACTCGTGTCACTTTTCTTACAATGTTTCTTACCAGAATCTACTCTGTACCTTACCCATGATTCTCTGCAAAAGTTCATGATGCCTATCCACAGCAATGATTAGAAACTGATATATTTTGTTTATCAAGATGAAATTATCATCTTGATTTTTATTTTGGGGGAAAAATCATAAAAGCACACCCATGACCTGATGAGATATTAATATTGAAAATTTAAATTCCAATATTACCTGTGAACTTTAGTGGGGAAATCGTGGCCTAATGGTTAGAGAATCGGACTTGTAACCCAAGGTTGCGGGTTCGAGTCTCGTACCGGCAGTCTATAAACGTTAATAACCTGTGAAAGTGAACCTCAATGTAGTGAACATCTGTGAGCCATTTATTAATGAGTTACAAACGTTAGTAACCTGTTAAAGCGAACCTTAATGTAAAGTGAACACCTGTGAACCATTTGTTAATGAATTATACTTGGCCACATGTCACGTCACTTTAAAACCTTTTTAAAACCTTTAAATGCAAAAATATTTTTATTTGATCCAATTTAACATTTTTCAGAAAATAATTAAATCAATGACTGAAAGCACCATTACAAAACATTATCAAATTAATAAGCAATCAGTAATTACTTTTTGATATCATGATAAAGCTCACTGTAACTTCGCACACAGAAAAGTTAGTAAAAAAGGTAGTATTTTCTGGTAAAATAAATGTTGTTGTTGCACTACATCAGCAAACAACTTTCAACTGGAAACAAAAAGATTAATCTTTTCTTTTACAGCACACTGGAACATTACTGAGCATAACGTCACACAAAAAAAGTGGCTTATAAAAGTAAACTCACATTATAACTAAGCATCAAATCTATAGAGCACGCTTCAGAGCACGCTGCAACAATCCTAACAGCGTGACGACTTCTTCTTCTTTGAAAACGTGACTTTACATCGGATGCTCGCTAGCGCCAACTACAGGCTTTGGTGACACACAGGCAACTACAGACACACAGGCTTTGGTGATGTGATCCTGAAAGAATATAATAAAAATGCATTATATGCAATGAAAATTATTTTTATTAGTAGTAGTAGCTATATATACTTATAAAAAAACGTTTTTGTCACAGATTGTATTGAAGGGCAGTGAGGAAGCAGGATTCAGATGCAGCAGTACCTATTATGTTTATTAAGAAGATTA